CTGGAACTCACTCTGTAGACCAGGCTGGCCTTAAACTCAGAAATTGGCCTGCCTCTGCCCCCCAAGTGCTGGGAGTAAAGGCGTGCTCCACCACTGCCCGGCTAAGAAGATGGGTTTTTATTGTTATTGCTGCTGCTGCTTTTTAAAGTAGGGTACACTATATACGTATCACTGGCTGACCTGAAACTTACCATGTAGATCAGGCTGGCCTTCAACCGGTAGAGCTCTGCCTGTGTCTGCCTCCGGAGTGCTGGGACCAAAGGTGTGTATCACTACTCCCAGGCTGTACACCCTGAGGGTTTTAAGCTGGAACAGGCCTTGGCTTTCAGGTAGGAAGAGATCCAGAACGGTGCTTACAAAACTGTTGGGAAACTGGAGGAGCAGGCTCCAGGCTGGGCCCTAGAACAGGCCTGAGCTGCTGGCCTCTGCCCCAGTGAAGGCAGGGACAGGAAGCCTGCCTGTCACCATACCTGTAGTCTGATCCCATGAACACTAGCAACTGGATGTTGCTCAGTGCTCCTGGTGGGAGTGGAGAGCCCCTCCCCCTTTTGTCTGTCACTGAAACCTAGCATCTAAAGCAGTAGCATCTAATTCAGAGGTGCAGGGGTGACACGAATGAGTGCCGGTTTGCCGTGTCTGTCCACTCCCACGGATCCTGTTACCAGCTGGACATCTGTCTTCTCTCCACCTGTCTGCTTCCCCGACCCTGTTCAAGCTGGTGCCAACCATAGTGCCTGGAGAGAAACCTCTGGCTAGACTGAAAGGGGCAAGTCTAAGCGTTCTGTTTGCTTTTTTCGAGACAAGGGTTTCACGATATATGAAAGGCTGGCCTTGAACACAGAGAGATCTGCCTGCTTCTGTCTTCCCTGTGCTGGGTTTTACAGCCTGGCCCCCATGCCTGGCCCAAGCCTTTTTTTTCATTCCCTTGGGATTGAGGTAGGAATAGTGTTCAATTGCTCACTGATGGGGAAGACTGAGTAGAGAAAGACCTCCGTACCTCTTGTCCCACAACCCCTCTTCCTCAGTTTTTTCTGAGGTAAGATAAGAGCTAGCTGGGTTGTTGGGGATTAATATTCCCAATCAATCTCTCTCTCTCTCTCTCTCTCTCTCTCTCTCTCTCTCTCTCTCTCTCTCTCTCTTTCTCTGTGTGTGTGTGTGTCTGTGTCCTAGATCTCACAGCAGGGAGGAAGGCAGGCAGAGAGCTGCTCCTTCCCCTTCTGTTCTGCTTGACGGTTGGTTTTTCCCTCGAAAGTTGGAAGCAGAAGAGGCCCTCCTCCCACTCCAGGCAGCCAGGCTTCCTGGCAGCAGAGTTTGTGGTCAGCAGGGCTCTGAGGTCTGACCCTGCCAGAGGACCAGATGCACTGGTAGCTGGGTGACTCCAGGAGAGTGGGCAAGCACCTTGTGTCAGGGTAGCCCCAATAGTGGCTGGCATGGATCAGACCTTGTCGATGTGGCCTAGGGCCAGCACTGTGAGCCAACCTAACACTGGCTGGTGTGGGTCAGTGTTCCCCGGTTTGGGCTAGGTCAGGTTGATGCCTGCTGTCAGCTTATAGCCGTGATGAGTGGGCCCTGGTACTCCGTAGTGTCCTGCAGGTCTGCTGAAACCCCGGCACACACCTCCTGTAGTCCGGCAGTTCCTCTCCTAGGCATGCACCCAATAGAAATGTGCAGATCTGCTCACTGGGAACCCTGCCACAGCCATGGTAGCACTCTCTGTAACAGCCGGAACCAGCGGCTATCCAGAAGCCCTTCCACAGGACAGGGTAAACAAACTGCGGGACATTCACACTTGGTAAGCTCGGGGCTTTGGGGGCGAACTCGGCAGCCACGTGCTGTGGCGTGGATGAGTCTGCCTGGCAAAAGGCCGAGGAAGGAAGTGAGTCTGAGTGTCTACACTGCAAAACCCACTGCCACCGTACATGCTTGGACACAGACAGCTAAGATGTTGGCTCTACCGGGGAGGGAGCAGACCTACTCCTTAGTCTTGGCACATCTGGCTCAAAGGTGATCACTTTGTAAAAATCACTGGGCCAAACACTTAAAACATGCAATTTCTTATTTTTGGAAGGTCTTATTTGGGGGTGGGGTGGGGGAATCTAATATTACAGTAGAAAAGTATGTGCCATATAGTGCAGCCTGGCAACTTATGGCAATCCTCCTGTCTCAGTCTTCCAGTGCACATATAGTTATCAACAATAGGTAATTTAAACATTTTTTTTAATTTACCTCTTATGTGTACGTGTTGGGAGCAGGCACATGTGAACGTCAGAGGGCAACCTGTGGTTGCTTCTCCTTCTTCACCATCTGAGACCCCAGGACGCGCAACTCGGATAATCAGGCTCAGCCGCAAGCACTTTCCCTGAGCTGAACCATCTCTGGAGCTTTGTTTTGGTTTGTTTCGGACTGGGTCTCACTAGGCTGTCCTGGAATTCAGTATGTAGACCAGGGTGGACTCAAACTCAGAGATCCACCTGCCTCTTGGGTGCTTGAAGTCAAAATATACCTCCATAATTCCATTTATTTGGGGGGACATGGTCTTTTACACGGCCTTGGCAGGCCAAGAACTCCCCATCCTGCCTCAGGCTTTTGAGCACCACCATGCAGGACCCCCACCTCAATTTTTAAGACCGAGTCTCTCTACCATAGTCCTAGCTGTCCTGGAACTCATGAAACCTGCTGGCCCTCAGTCACTTTTTTATTGAAGTTTGAAGCCCAAACCTAGGTAAGGTCTTCTACTCCACGCTTCTTTATCAGTGTCCTGGTTTGGTTAGACACAACTCAACCGCCCCTCTTCTGTGTATCTCTACATGGGAAGTAGAGACACAGAACACCAAGAGTGTCCCTCGCTGTACCCCTCAGGGGATAAGGGGTCTCAAACTGAGTGGAACGTTTTTTTAAAGATTTGTTTCTTTTTTTATGTGAGTACACTGTCGCTGTCTTCAGACACACCAGAAGAGGGCATTGGATCCCATTACAGATGGTTGTGAGCCACCATGTGGTTGCTGGGAATTGAACTCCGGACCTCAGGGAGAGCAGCCAGTGCTCTTAACCACTGAGCCATCTCTCCAGCCCTAAGTGGAACTCTCTATACCAGTCCTTCTGTGCATTCTGACGGAGTCAGCTTGCCTGGGACACAATTAGCTTGCCCTTGGGAAGACAAGACGACAGATTCAGGCCCAGAGCTCATCCCCGACTAACCTCCTGAACTCTGTCCACCCACTCTCCAGATCCAAGGAAGGCCTGCTCAGGCCCCTAACTAGTGCTTCCTGAAGCTCCCACTAGGTCTTTAGGTTCCTGTCCCAAGTCCAAACTTAAAAGCGTACAGGACTTCACTCACTGTACCCCAAGAACTTGGAAGTCAAAAAGGGTTTTCAACTCACAGCTCCCTCTTGCCTGATTTGTTACCTGCTTTCTTTCTTCCTTTTTCTTCTCTCCTTCCTTCCTTTCCAGTCATGAGGTCGATAGGGCTCCTCACTCCCACTCACTTACGCTTAAATATTATTGCAAAAGGAACGGAAGGGGATTCAGGGCACATGCAAACCGGACAGCACAGAGGTATGTGCATGGGGGTCGGTGCAGCCGGCAGAACTGTTTGCATTTTAAGAGTGGGCAGGAGGGAGACAGACTATTGTATTTGTTTGTCTTGAATTTTACTTATATTTCTGCCTACTTCTAGAGAGGGCCTTGGGTAGCTTACAGAAACACACACGCGATACAAAACAAGGCAGTGAGCAAACCCGGACCAAGAGGAGCAGAAAAGTAAGATCAAACCAGTTTCCTGTAAGTGGGGCAAGCGATTGGCCAAGCCAATTCAGGAAGAGTACCCTTTTCTCCTCTACACAGGTCAGAGGCGGTATATGCGGAGGGACCACTACTACGTTGTGGGGAAAAAGGCCTGCGGGACCATTCCCAAACCTTCCCCACTCAACACCATAGCCAGGGCCTAGTGGCCTAGGCTGCTGGCAATGGCCTGTCGCATGGGAGGAGGTGCTGGTGCTGGTGGGAGTTGGTAGCTTGCTCAGCCACACCTCGTCACGAAGGTCCCCAGAGCTCTCAGCAACTCCGTGCCCCTCCAGCCAACTCGGCTCGCAGGGCACCAAGATGGAGGGCGCGGCGAGCTTCCACCCCGCCACGCCCCCACGGCAGCTGCACACAAAGGGGCAGCCGCTCCTCCCCCCACACTGCCCCGGCGCCCTAGGCTCCCCTCCACCCAATGGGCACGCCTCTCCGTGACTTCCTCTCTCTCCAGTGGCACCTCAGGAGTTGAGGGTCACCTGGACCTCGGCCTGGGACCCGCGGCCTGCCCAGGCCTCCCGCGCCCGGCCGCCATGCCCCGCGCCCAGGGCGCCATCCTATGGCCCGTGGGGAGGGGCTGGGCCCGCTGCGCTCCCCACCCCCCACCGGAAACATTCCTGAGGCATTCCTGAAACTTGGGAGGCCCGCCTCCCCACACCCCAGCTCCCACCCCGCCTCCAGCCGGGCGCACGCTGGGCCCCGGTTCCCTTCCACCGCCCGCGCGCCCCCCGAGGAGAGGGCTGACCGCGGAGGAAGGGGGAGCCGAGTGATGAGTCACAGTCGTGTGTCACTGGGGCCCCGCATTGCAATTCCCTGCATCACGAGAGGTGTGGAAAGGCCGACTCGGGGAAGCGAGGAGGGGACGTGCGTCCGAGGGCCCGCGCCCGGCCTGCAGGGCGCGCCTCTCCTCCTGCTTCCCCGCGCGCCATCTTCCCACTTTGGCTTCCTCCCGCCCAGCAACAAGTCTTTTGTTGAGCCTGGCGCCCGGAGGCGGGAAACTCGAACCCTGCCCTCAAGGGGATTCCAGGCACCCGTGGTCTAGCTCCAGAAGTCACAGGGGCGGGGAATCACACCGGCGGGACCGCTCGCTTCCTCAAACACCACGCAGCAGGTCACCTCGTGGCTCCTCCCTGCCCTGTCTTGTCCCCGGGGGCGAGCCAGCCAATCGCTCGGCTCCTTTGAAGCCGAGCACCTGGGTGGCGGCCGTTACTAGATGGAGACCGTTGGCGGCGTCTGCCAACTTTCACGTTGGGGTTTCACAAGACCTTGGTGTTTTCACGCGCTCTGAGGCCACCGGAGACGCACTTGCCGTCACCTGCTTGGCGACAGAGGGGAAGTAAGGACGGGCCCTCGACGTGGGGGTCGTGGGGGGCGGCGGCGGCGTGCAGGCCGCGGGAGGCTGCCTTGGGGTACACGTGGACGTCCGAGGGCACGGGCGTCAGCGCGCGCCACCGAGAGATCGGAGCCCACCGGGGCCTCTTAGAGGTGTGTCGCAGGGTCCCCACAGCGACAGCAGGGCCGCGGCCGCCGTCCTCGGCTCCTCCTCCGCCAGGCTGCCCGGGAACTGTGAGAAACGAGGGCCGTCGGCGCGCGTGCCTGCGTAGGCCGCGCGCGCACCCTGCGCGGCAGTGGCGAGCTAACCCGCGCGCGGCGGCGGTGGCGGCTGGCGGGCGGCCGCCCTTTTAAATCCTCGGGCTCATTTGCATGGCCCCGCCCCCCGGTGACACGGCTGGCGCGGGCGGGCCCGTCCCCCCTGCCCCTGGGTCGCTCTTTTTAAGCTCCCCTGAGCCGGGGCTGCGCTCCTCTAATTGGGACTCGGAGTCGGGGCTATTTCTGGTGTTGGCGCGGCTCCAAGAAGGCGTGAGTTTGCCGCCGCTCGGGTGGCTTCTTTTTTTCCTGTAGGTCTAGAATCTAATCACATTATTATTTATTGAGGCCGCGCACGGGCCGTGCCCAGCTTCCTGCCCCTCGCCATCCTCCGGGGGAGCGGGATCCGTCCGTGTTCCCTCGCCCCAGCTCGGATGTGACACACATCCCCGGCGGGGGCCCGGGCGGCGCGCACGCAGCGGTCTCAGCGCCTCTGCCCTCTCTCCCGGTTTCAGATCCGCATTTGCGACCGGCGGCGGCGGCGGTAGAGGCAGAGCCCAGGCCGGTGCCCTGCGCCCAGCCCCGCCGTACCCGGCAGCCCCGAGCGCGCCCCGCCGGCGGCCTGCAGAGCTCGCGGTGAGTGTCCGCGGCGCGCCCGGGGGCCCTGCGGCGCGCGCTGCCCGCTTTATTCCCAGGCCCCGGGCTTGCGCGGGCCGCGGGAACGGGGAGGCCGCACTGTGCGCGCAGGCGGCGTGGCCGGGGTGGACGTCCGTCCGCGGGGCGCCGCGTCCTTCGCTTCCCGAGGCCGAGGGTGCCCGGCTCGCCCACCGTGGGGGTGCGGAGACCCCCAGGGAGCGGCGCGCGGAGGGGGAGGGGGCGCGCGGCTGCGACGAGCGCCGCTTGTGCACCCGGCGGCGCCCGTGCACCTCGCGCTCGGCGAGCCCGGCCTCGGGGAGGGGCGCGCGCTGCGCAGCGACGGGAGGTGGGCGCGCGTCCCCCTCAGCCGGGGAAGTTCTAGAAGTGCGGGGGAGGGGCCCGGCGCCCCGGGATTCCTCCCTGGCCTCCCCTCGGCCTTTCCCAGGGTCGTGCTGTGCGTGGACGAGGCCGGATCGCGAGGGCCTGGGTTTCGGGGCTTCACCCACACACACGCACCTTTGGCCCGGCTCCGCGCCTCTCCAGCCCCCGGGGCCGGGCCTGCCCTCCGCCCCCACAAACTGGTTCCTCTGCTTTGCCGGGTGCTGTTAGAACTAGTCCCTCGGACTCCCGGTTCCTGCCCCCTCCCCCCGGGTTGGCTTTCGAGGAGGGGGTTGTTTTTTTTTTTTTTTTTTTCTTCCTGCGACTCGCACCAGGTTTCCTGCCCCCGAGGCGGGCTTGGGTGCCCCCTCTGGCGGGAAGTGGGACAGGGTGCACCCGCGTGGCGGTGCATGTGGTCGGGGTGCGCCGTTTCCCGCGCCCGCAGGGCCTTCGCCCCTCCCCCTCGTCCTACCTCCTGGAAGCGCCGGCCTACAACCGCCAGGCCGGGACGCTGGCGACAGCACCCTTGCTCTGGAGTAGAGGGCGCCAGGGTCTTAACCTGCTTCTCAGTAAACAAAGTGGCGGTCTGTAAGCAATTCCGCAAAAGGACCTCCATTTTACCAAGTTGCTGTGTGACCTTGGGCCACTCGGGGGGGGTCTTCTCTGGGCTACTTCAAGGGGGAGAAACAACCCTAACAATGGGTCTGCCGGGATGTTATTCCTCCGGTCGCTCCCGCATAGTTAATTACACGTTGAGGAGCCACAGCGTGGGCACCCGTGTGAGGAAACAGGCTGGAGGCCCGAGAGAGGCACATGGGGCTTGGACCCCTCGTGTGCCTCCGGCATGCCGGGCCTCCCTGATGTTCAGAAACAGGTGGAAGAGATGAGGCTTTCCTCGGCCTCGCTGGACAGGCACTCTAAGCTTAATTCAATGGGGGCATTGGGCCGAGCAGGTGGTTTAGAGTCCCTAACGGCAAGAATTGGGGAGGCACCAGGTGGCAAAACTGTCCGGGAGGCCGGCCAGGGTCTCCAGGCAAGCTGGATGCACGCGCGGTCTTTGGGACCGGCGCTGGCCTTCCCCCGTGAGCCCCCTCTGGAGGGCCTCCAGCAGACCTCGGTGTGAGGTCAGCGCTCATTAGCTGATTAATTTTGATGTTTGGTTTGAAGGAGACCTGCGGTGTAATGTAAGGTTCTAATCACGGCCTGTAATTAGAGAACAGACCAAGCCGCTAATGATGGAGCTGGCCGAGCCACCCTGTTTAAAGGGGTCTCGAGTTTGAAATATCGTAGTAGAATAATTAGCAGAGTCCGCGCCATCTGGAGCGTCTCTTGATGCCTGAGAATTAGGAAACCGTTAAGTGTTTTAGAAATCACAAGTTTTCAAAATGTTTTCCTGTCGTTGGGTCAAAATTATCTGGAAAGAGGGGTTTGGGAGGGGCGGCTTGGTAAGAGCACTGCCCAGCGTACACGAGGCCCTAGAATCAATCCTCGGTTAACTCGGAAGGGACAAGCCTGGTCCTCAGTGGCAGTGAGGTAGCTCTGCAGGTGCCATGGAGACTGTTGCCTGATCCCTGCCCCTTCACTGATGTGCTGCCAGCTTCCGCCCTCCTGAAGCACAGGCTATGTTGGTGCCTGAAGCAGTCTCCTGGGCCTGCAGCTGGGGCTACACTTCCTGGCTCTTGGTTGACCTCTCCAGAGGAGATCTCTTAAGTACAGGGCACAGGCGCTCCTTGTGGTAGTCTATCTCCCAACACACACACACACACAGTGGTCCTGGACCTCAGGTAAAGGACTACTTGCTACCCAGAGTCTGTCACCTGGAAGGGTCTACTGAGAATCTGCCCTTGCCCTAACTTGCTGTCAAAGCAAGCCTATGGTTGGTTACTCAGACAGGCTCAGCTCCTCCCCCATCACCCATGGCCACCCTCTCTAGATCTTGAGGATGTGGTGCGCTCTGGCATTTGCTCTGGGTCTCAGGCTTGGAGCTGCTGCGTGTCCGCCCTGGTGGCACTGGGGACTAGGGCTTCCCTTCGGATTGCAGCCCCTGGCTAAGAGGGAAGGCAGTGAAGAACCACCTCACCCTGCCCCTCAGGTGTACCCCTCGGGTCGGTCTGAGACCCTCTAGCCAGGTCTGAGCTGGCTACACCTCACTGGGGCGGTGAGGCCAGGGTGGTGTGGGTGGGGGCGGAGGCAACACCTGTGTTACTGCTGCTTTGTCTCCCTGATTTACAGCCAGACTCACTCTGTACTGCCCCGTACGTAGAGAAGAATGAGCGAGTCCGGCTCAAAGTCCAGCCAGCCCCTGGCCTCCAAGCAGGAGAAGGATGGGACTGAGAAGCGAGGCCGAGGTAGGCCTCGCAAGCAGCCTCCGGTGAGTCCTGGCTCGGCCCTGGTAGGGAGTCAGGTGGGTGTCTAAAACTTTCGCTTGTTTCCTTTCTTGGGCTGGGAGTGGGAGGGGGCAGAGCTGATTCTTTTTGCGCATGTGTATCCATCCCTGTGTCTGTCTGCTCACTGCCCAGAGGCGTTCAGCTTGGTGTCTGAGGTCATGGTGAAGCCACCCATGTCTTAACATTCACCCAGAAAAGTGGGAGACAGGTGTGGTATACAGGCAGGGGGAATCAGAAAGTATTAAAAAGTATTTTTTTTTTTTTTAAATTTTTTTGCCCTGGTCAGAATTTTGTCTTTTTATTTTCCCCCCAGAGCTGAGGACCGAACCCAGGGCCTTGCACTTAGGCAAGCATGCTACCACTGAGCTAAATCCCCAACCCCTGGGTCAGAATTTTGAACAAATAATCAGACTCTTGTTCAGTTGCCCCTCGGGGTCTTAACATCCAGTCTTTCCTCCCGTGTCAGGTGGGAAAGAGTTCTTGGGCCGGGCTGTGTAGACGGCCCCTTACTTACCACTTCTTCAGCCTTGGTTCTGTAGGTGGACATTGAGGCTCTCTGGGGGAGGTCCCTGAAAGGTTGGCCAGTGGGGTGGAGCTCTCCGCCCTCTCCAGGGGAGGGGAGGCTGTTGGTGGCCCTGTGAAGGTGGCAGATTGTGTCCTCACTGGGTTGTCTTGGCTGGAAAGTCTGAAGGGTGAAGGATGGAACTTAGCCACCGAGTCTGGGCGGTGGTCACGGGAGCACGGCTCCTGCAGGCCCCTTGCTGTCCAGCCTCCCTGTTGTGGGGAGGGTTTTGGTTTTGGAAGAGAGTTTGATCCAGGCTGGCATGAGACACACCACACTCCTGGCCCGGGTGCCTGGATGGATACTGAGTGGGAGACTCCTTGCCTGGGAAGCACACATTTTATTCTGGCCTCGAGAGAGGTTTCCTATGTAGAGGCAGGAAGAGCGGTAGCAATCATGGCCAGTGCTGGACCACACTGCCTTATGGTTGACTTATCTGACACTGCTGGCTAGGTGTTCCCCAGGTGAGATCAGTTACAGCATTGGGCATTTTGCAAAAGACCAGAAACATAATAGAGTTGGTCAGGGCACCCTGCTCGAGAGACAGCGCTCTCAGAGATCTCTGGTTTATCTTTCTTTGGTCTAAAATCTTCAGAGGCTTCAAGGTAGGGGCTTGACTGGGGGTGTCAGGTAAGTTTGGAGTCCCCAGGGCGTGCCTGCTGCCATCTTCTACGGACTCTAGGTTGGGGTGACCTCCTATGGGCCAGTGCAGCTTGGTTGTCACTATTTCCCTCACTCCCAGACGTCTTTGCAGAAGGAGCCCAGTGAAGTGCCAACTCCCAAGAGACCTCGGGGCCGACCAAAGGGAAGCAAGAATAAGGGCGCGGCCAAGACGCGGGTGAGCCTCTCCTACCGTGGCGTCCTGTGCGGATGCGGGGGGATCTGTGTGTCGTGGCTAATTGTGGAGAATGGGGTACCCAGGACAGCTGGGGAATAGCTTTCCAGGTCTGGAAAAGGGCAAGGCAGAGGTAGAGAGTACAAGCCTGTGCCAACTCTGCTGAGAATGTCACCTTCGTTCATCCCGAGGACAGGAAGCATGCGTGCAGGGAGGGCCAGAGTCACGGTGGCATCAGCCTCAAAAATGTTGTTTTTAATTTTATTTTTTAACACACGACTCATATCCTCTGAGTCATTTGTGAAGGGGGGAGGGGTGCATGTATGTTGGGTGGGGGGTGTGGGCTAGCCAGTCATCAGCAGCTGGACTTGGGTGGACCCCCTCGTGGGGTCCTGGGCTGTTCTGATCCAGCCCGTCTCCCTCTTCCTGGGCTCTGGTGTCTCTCATTCTGTTCAGCACTTTGGACTTACACTCATGTCCCTTACCCTCCCCTTCAGAAAGCTACCACAACTCCAGGGAGGAAATCAAGGGGCAGACCCAAGAAACTGGTAGGTACTTGTGTTTGCCGGGTGAAGGGTGGGTTAGGGACGCCCTGCAGTGGGCATATTGAATGTTTTGAGTATGCGTGAAGCATGTATCACCCAAGTTCAGGGTTATCTTCCTCTTAAGAGACCCGTTGTCTCCAGAAAGTAATTGCTAATTTCAGGTACGCTGTATAGGCTCTCATTGGGCCCTCAGGAAGTGTCCTGTGCCCATACTCCCTTTACTAGGTCCCTCATGGAAAGATCAGGAGGTGAAAGTCTGGACAGGGAATCCTGTCCTATATGGGCAGCCCCTGGGGGCTGCCTCCTCACTCTGAGCTGAGCCACCCCTTCAGTGGAGGGACTGGGGCCCCCTGCTGGCTCGACTCCAGGGATGAGTAACAGGAAACTAGTTGTTTTGGAGTTTGCCTGGCACTGGGGGGGGGGGGGGGGGGGTGGGGGGGAGGCCCTGTGGCGTCCTAACGTTCCCGCCCAGTGAGCGAGTCCCAGGGGCACATACTTTTCCTTCCCACCCTGGGAAGGGTCAGCCATTGGACACTCCAGGCCTTCTTGGAGCTGGCTCCACACCTGCCCTGGGCCGGCTCTCATCTCTCTGGTTCTTGTCTCTTGCCCTTGTGCCTCCTCTCTGGAGAGCTCGCTGGCCACCTCCTCGGCCCTCGGCATAGGCCCGGGCCAGGCGCTGGGTCTGGCCTGTGTGTGAGAGCGTGTGTGTGTGGTTTTTTTCCTCCCTTTAAATCCTTCGTTTTTATGAATGAAAGCATCGTGGAGGTTGCTGAGTCACCCACACACTCAGCCCTGACTCATCCCCCTTCTGCAGAGGAGAGCCTGGGAGGGAGGGAGGGAGGGAGGGAGGGAGGGAGGGGTGGGGGGTGCTGGCTGAGAATGAAGGCCAGTCCTTGAGTTGCTCTGCCTCCCACAGAAGGAGGAAGAGGAGGGCATCTCCCAGGAGTCCTCGGAGGAGGAGCAGTGACCACTCCGCAGTGCCGTCTGCTCCTTAGCCACCGAGGAGCAGCTTTCCCCCGGGACAGGAAGCCCTGCTCCCAGGCCCCTCCCCGCCCCCACTGCACACTACCGCACCAGGCACCAGCTGCGGGCTCTGCTCTGCTCTGCGGCACGGCACCCACGGGAGCAGGATTCGGCTCAGCCCCTGTGCCCTCCTTCCCAGCACACCTGCCCCCTCCCGACAAGGCTGACTCCCCATTTAGCCGCGGCCCGGCCTGCTGCGTACCTTCCTTTAGAGCCCTGGTTCTCTGGGCGCTTTGTTTTGCGGGTCCCTTTCCGCCCTGCTGTTCCTAGCTTCCCCGCAGAGGGTCCTGGGAGCATTCCCTGGCCTTAAGGGGCCCCAGCCCCATCTCATTCCGACAAGCCCCGTTGGCTGACCTGGCAGCAGTGTGGTCAGCGCAGGGGACGCTTAGATCCCAGCATGCCCCCCACCAAAGTGTCCGGGTGGGTTTCTCAGCCCCCTCCGGCCCCACCCTACAGAGATCCTGCACTGGGTTGGCTGAGCCCCTTGGTTGGACAACAGGAAGTAGGATGTGTTGGCTCCACCCACTGAGGTCCTTCCACCTGAGGCAGCCGGGCACCAACACGCCTCCCCCACTACACTCTAGGTTGTTCCTTCCTCCAGCAGGGCACTAAGGAGCTAGCCTTGCCGCCCCCTACTCTCGCTCCTCCCTGCCCCCCAAGGTTCTGGTTCCATCTTTTCCTCTGTTCACAAACTACCTCTGGACGGTTGTGTTTTTTTTGTTGTTTTTTTTTTTTTTGTTCAATGTTCATTCTTAGACACCCACCATTGCTGCTGCTACCAGCGTCAGATGCTCATCCCCCCCCATGTCGCCTGTATTCTCCCCCCACCCCCCACAGTACACTCTAGGGGAAGGGGGGGCTGGGGCTCAGCAGGCTGGTTACCAACCCCACACTAGGGAAGGTGGGGCCGCCCCGTGGATGCTGCAGCAGAGTGAGGAGGGGGGCCCACTTTGATGGGGGAAAGGATGTAGGACCACCTCCCCTTGTTCTGTGGGGGAGGGGTGGCCAGTATTTGTCCCAGCCCGGGGCTTCCCCTCTGGTTTCCTATTTGCAGTTACTTGAATAAAAAAAAAAATGGCCTTTTCTGGACAGTTTCTGGCGTGAGGCGTGGTAAGTGTGGCGTCCACCCCACAATGGAGTCCACACCAAGGAGGGTACCCTGAAGCCACAAAAGTTTTATTTACAAAATATACACAACTATACATCTGGGCCCGTCGCCATGGGAATAGGCTGGAGAAAGCAAAGCTGCTACCCACTCCAAAGGGAGAGGGCGGCCCATTGGCGCCTCGCAGGCTTGGCTCCGGGCCAGCTATAGGTGCTCAGAACGGACACCACGTACCTATCTGGGTGGGTAGCGGGGCGTGGATGGTTATGTCTTGATGTCCAGCAGGGGCATCCGCTTGTGCTGGTAGCCGCTCTGCCAGCCCTGTACCACCTGTCGGGAAGAACGAGCCGGTGCTGCTTCACTGTTGCATTTGTTAGGAGTGCCTGGCAGCTCAAAAGTGAGGGAGGACCGGCCTCCTGCTGCAACCTGGTTCTTACCCAGGGATGTACTCACCTTGGGGTCTCCCACATCCGACAGCAGCTCCTGCTCGGCTTCGTGGAGCTCTTCCGCAGGGTCATAGCTATACATCGGAAGCAGGTGGTGGCGAAGTCGGTCCACCCTGGGGAACAGGAGGGCAGGGCTGAGCCCACACCCCAGCCCTGTACTATCTGGCCCTCGAACCCGGTGTCTACTCCCCTCAAACCAGAGATACCCTTGGGCCGGAAAAGAAACCATTTCTGCTAGGGTAGAGGGTACAGCACCAGGGAGTTAGGACACTCACCGCTTTTTCTTCTGCACGTACATCACCTGTAACAGAGACACGGGACTGTGGAGGCTGGGGAGGTGATCATGGCCAGTCTGGGGACCCATTTCCACACCCTTAATGACAGCTGAGATGCTGTGCCCACCAAACCAGGCCCAGCCGCCCCAGGCAAGTCTGATGTGAGGGCTCCTTACCACGGCCGCCACCACCCCGACCAGGGTGATGAGGAAGAAGGGTCCCAACACATAGCCCACCATGGAGTCACTGTTGGCCTGGGGGGCATTGGGCACTGTCGTGTTACTCATGACATCAGTGGCCAGACGGCTGAGTGGGCTGCATGGGCGGTGGAGGGCGCCTCCCCTGGGCTCCCTGGGGAGGAGGAAGGGAGGTTATCAGTGTTATGGTGACAAGGAGGCCTGTATCCCTCCCCAAGACCTGGAATGGAAATCCAGGGAGACTTGAAAGCCAGACACTGGGATGACCCCAGCCAGGTAACCGTTGGCTCTGAGCACCAAGGACAGGACCAGATGCCAGCCAGGCCGGCTTGTTTTCTGCCCAGCGCCTACAAACGAGAGGGTGTGGCCTAACTCAGATGCCTGGTAGACATTTGCAGGGTGTCAACTGCTTGGGGAAAGGTTAGGTGCAGGTGCAGAGCTAGATGGATGGAAATAGAGAGAGCAGGGCCTGCGGTGCGGTGGAGGGGTGAGTTAGGATCATGGGAAGGGGTTCTGGTTCCGTTCCCACGCTAGCAGCCGCAGGCCTGCATCCCCGGTGTAACCCTATACGCGGTCCTCAGCATCGGGGCTCAGGTACGAGTGTGGACATTGTGTAGAGACGGGCAGGATCTGATCTAGATGACGTCACCTGCCTCTAGTACGCCCGGGGCTCCGCCTATGTCCCTCCCCTCCCGGCCGGGGCTGACGGGCAGAGGTGGAGAGGATCGCCCCCATCCACAGAAACCAGATCATCCTTGGGCGGCGGCATCGAGATGGCCCAAGTTCCTGTCCCGGACTCTCCGACAGAGGAAGAGGGACGGGCTAACTGCCCCATGTCCGTGGGTCAGTTCTGCCAGTTCCCTGTCGCGAGCTCTCCCCGTCTCAGGCCGATGGGGGGGGTGGGGGTGGGTTCAGGCAAGCCAGAACCGGAAAGGTATGAGGCCGCTCTTAGGATGCTGGCTCGCCTTGGCGGGCAGATGGTTTCCACGCTGCGGGGAGGCTCGGGGGTACTGGGGGGGAGTCGAGGGGCCGAAGCCTGCGTGGGTACCTTGGAACCCCGGCACCCCAAGCTGCTCCGTGCGGGCGCGCTGCTGCCCATCCAACCCGGCCATGCCTTACCTCCCGCCGTGCAGCCCTGACAGCAACACCTCGGGTTGGCTCCGGCCCCGGAAGAGCCCTCCGGCGCGTGATCAAAGAACCCGGAGGGAAGGCGGGGCCTTTGCGCCCCAGTCTGGCATACTGGCCAATCCGGAGGCGGGTGGGCGGGCCAGACGGGGGCCCGCAGGGTCCACGCCGCGGCAGCAGGGGGCGACCGAGGGCCGCGCAGCGGGAAGGTGGCGGGGCGGCGAGCTTTCCCGGCTACACGCGAGCGGGCGCGGCGAGTGGTCGCCGCGGGATCCCGGCGACTGGTTGTCCGCGGGTAGAGGCGGTGGCCGAGGGCCACCCTCCTTTCTGTCCCCACTTCTTCAAAGCAGGTTGTCGTGAAGCTGAAATGATGGCGTAAGACATCCTGTGGCCCGAATGTTAAGTTCCTCGGAGCTCTTTTCCCGGTGGTGGTGGGGGCACAGATGGAGCAACGGGGTGCCGCTTGCTTGGTTCACGGGCAGCTTGGTCAGCCTGTCCCCAAGCTGTCATGGTCTGACTATTAATGTTACTCAGACTGGAGAAATCTGAGTAAGATCACGTTTGGGGTGGGGGGAGATGGCTCAGCGGTTAAGAGGACTTACTGCTCTCACTGAGGACTCCGGTTGGGTTCCCAGCACCCATGAGGTGGCTCACAACCATTTCGAGAGGATGCAACCCCCTATTCTGTGCCCCGCGGACACTAGGCAGAGCAGGTGATGCAGGCAAGAACTTAAGAGTCGACATGGGATGCAACAATTTCTTTTTTGTCTGTGGTAAAGTCTGTGATTATCCCTGGTAGGCTTGGAACTCGCTGTGCTTGTGTGTGTGAGCCTCCTGGATGCTGGGTGGGCGTGTATCACCATGCCAGGGGAGAGAGCACTCCCCTCTGTCTCATGTATCCCAGACATCTTGAATTCCTGATCCTGTCTTCAGATCACCTCCTAAATGCTGGGATTCCGGGCTTCCTGAATGTTAGCCAAGCATTCTACCAACTGAGCTAGCTCTCTTTCTCCCTCCCACCATTTCTCCTGCTCTCCCCTCCCTTCCTCCTCCTCACCTCCATCCGCCTCTCCTTTCTACCTGCCAGAGTGTTGGGATTAAAGGCCATCACACCAGCAGGTCGTATATTCACGGCATGAAACCTACACGTACTCTGGGTGTTATAGTTTATGTCTATAAACCAATAGTCCTGCACCAGGCCTCTTCTCCCCTGCTTCGGCTGAAAGCCACCTAAGACTGGTGGTCCTGAGGCAAAGCCTCCCAAGCTAGTCAGCTGGTAATGAGGACATGGGGCAGCCTAGGTGCCCTATTCTTGCAGAGAATTCCCAAGGTGCAGATGTGAGGTACCCAGAACTAACTCACTTGCTACTTCCTGTCTATCAGGTTGTTGTGAGTGAGTTACTTTGGCTGGGCCTGGATTTCCTCTGACCCTTCTGGAGAAGGATAGTTGACAGCAGGTCAGGTGCAGAGGTAGACCCAACAGGGAAGCACCCCGGGGCAGATGGGGACCCTGACAAGGTCTACCTCAGACAGCAGCACCTGACTGGGGGTAGGATCAGGGAGAGGGAAAGAATTAATGAAGCCCCTCAGCCTGGAGGTTACAGGGGCATCCGCTGTCACCTTCCACAAAGCAACAGGAGACCTTAGGCTTTAGATGTTCAAAGATGTCAGAGCAAGGGTGAGATTTTAGAAGCTGGGCTCCTTCCTAGGTTGTCCACATCCCCCGCTTGTGTTTATTCTCGGGACTTTGGCTGCTTAACTTTCTTTTCTCCAGACTTCCGCTTCCATCTCCAGAGTTCTGTGACAGCTGTGTGCCACAATGCCCAGTTGCAGTGATACATCCAGAGGTCTGGAAGTTCGTGTCTTCAAAGGGCCAGGGTCTAAGGGCCTGACCTCATTCCTAGAGCAGAAACCCCCGA